CCGTGATAAGAAGCAGCATAACTTGCAACATTTAATCAAACACAGCCGGGTGCGGCGTAATAATACGAAATGCCAGTAACCAACATGTTCACGGAATATTTCAAACTTTGTCCTTCCATAGCTAATATTAAGAGAGCTTAAATCATATCTTGCAGTACAAATGCAAAAAGCACGTAGCAAAAAAGCGGTGTGTCAAAATCTACAAATTACACGCGGGTAACATCGGAAACAACACAGACCTATGACCTCTAACGGTTCTACTCTGGTGAAAAGTCCTCATAAAAACACAGGATTATTGCTTAGCGAAATACTCAAAGATCCCCCTATCGTACCACAAAAAAGGGGCAGATCCTCAAAGATGTACTAGCTCGAGCAAAACTTTTAAAGCGGCTATTACACGTGAATAGGAGTTGTGTAAGCCGGTCACTCCATTGTTGACATTGCGTGATATATTTTGCAAGAATATGACCAATCACAAGGCGCGTAAGAAACTAGCCAATCAGAAATGGATACGCAGATCCGTGTATCCATGCGGGATATCAGAACAAGCTTTTGGGAGCCGTTTCGCAGACGGACTATATCGGGGATTTTATGACAAGTCCGGCCGCAACAAAGGTTAGTCTGAGAAAACTGGCAGCCTTTTTAAAACTTGCATGACATAACTTCCATGAACACAGTCACTGTTACCAAATATGAAAAGAAACATTGATGATTAAAAAAATTTGTGGAATAATGGTTACCTGTCAGTTTGGCGAGTTCAACTGGATTCTGCGTGAATACAAAATTCTCCATCGCTGCCACGCTGAAATGAAAACGAAACAAATAAAAACAAAATTGATTAGTTTCATTTGCACTTCATAGTTTAGTTTGAACGATTACTGCAAGGATTCACCTAACAAAATGAAAAAAAGTGACACAATTGACGAAAACGCAGCGTTTTGTTTCCACTTAAGTTTAATATCAACGCACTATATAAGGCAGAATACGTTCATATGAATGAAGATGTGTTAGTACAATGAACAGCAATCTGACTTAGTTCTTGTCAACAAATTACTGAGATTGAAACTTTGCAATTACATATAACTTGTAATCATATCTGCATAGAAAGCGTATGCATTGCCCAACACGTTCACTGACACATTGCTTGCTACTTGTAGCTACTTTTGCTCGTTTCGTGTACTCAAGTGGGTCAGTGTGGTGCCAACCTCAGGATCATAAGAAGGCCTTGAACTTAATTAGACAGTCACCTAAAAAATTGTCGACTTCTCCTGCTTTGCAGGTCAA